ATATCTTGTTGGATTTACGATCTAGATTCTCATTGTCTTGGCTTCGCGCACACATTGTTGTATATGCCGACGATATTCATCTCAGATGGGTTATCCATTCACATCCCCAAACCCTTGACGTTTTATCCGAACTTCAGCATGTGTTGGATGTTTTGAAAGCCTTTGGCCTTCATGTGAATATGACCAAGAGTGTTGTTATATTGAGATTGGTAGGTCGAAAGGCTCCTAGCTTCCACCGCACTTGGGTACATCGAAAGAAGGATGGCCCCATCCTCCGACTGCCAGAAAAACACTAGCAATTGCCGCTGGTATCGAAAACCGCCTATGTGAGTGTCATTATAGGATATCGAGCATGGGACTATGACACGACTGCAAGACGCATTGTAGCTGCGCAGTGGTACTTTCGTAAATTCCGTAAATATCTCACCAATACAACCCATACATTGTCCATACCTCTCAGACTTTACAGACAAAGTGTCCTTGCAACAATCAACTATGGTATCCATGAGATGGGCATCATTAGAAGAGATTTCATACCTTTGATTAGTATGGTAAATACCAATCATCGTATTATAGCACGATTTCCGGTTTGCTTGACCCATGAATCCACCTAGAACCTCTTTGAGCGACTTCAGCTCACACCTCCATGGATCCTTCTTCAAGAACAACAAGCCAAAATCAAACAGGCCTTGCAAAAGCGTAGGGAACGTATGTTGGTTGCAACCATCGTATTTGATGTCTGGGCAGTGGTCCCAGATCTATGACCTAATGATTTTATCCTTCCCATTGATACCCCAGACACCCGCCTGGCCCAGGAAGTTGCATGTCCAGAATGTCATCGTACGTTCAATCAGGTGGGAATTTTGAAACGACACAGCGCCAGAGTCATGACATCCCATGTGAAGTCGAAGACTTGTAAATGCCTCTCAGAGATGTTTGGCATGGACGACCGATTTGTTCTTATTATGTTCATTTTTTTGTAGATTTTGATAGGCTTCGGGATCACATTAACAAGAGAGCATGTTCAGCATTTAATGCGGCGCAGGAATCGAGGATGCACTTGTGCCACAAGTCCATATTTGGATTGCTTCGCAACCATGCCCTGATGGCAGAGTTGCCTCAGCATTATGCGTATTGTCACTCCCAGATAGCCTCCAGGTCCATTCGAAAGCATTACGTGGACAACATGCTCACTTGATTCCTTTAATTGCAAACTACAAGGAGTATATCATTGGACTTGCAAATTTAGGCAGTGGCCGTGGTAGATATTGTTTTTGTGATCGTGAATGTCGAGATATTAGTAATCACGATTGTGGAATATTGTTCCAATTGTCAGCCATGCTAGGCCAAACCTTCCAACCGCAATATTTCCCTGTGATGCCGGTTAATTGAATCCCATGCCACAGCACTGCACGATCCCGGCCCCACTAGTACCTACCGACTCAGGTACGATTCCTTTGCTTTCCAAAAGCTCAATTAGGCCTGACCATTCGAGAGAACCTGATTGCTAGATAAGCAGTCCGGCCCAGCCGAAACCGGCCTTGTTCGCGTGCACCACTTGCCAAAGCCATTTTTTGGCCGCCATTGGCCTTGAGAAATATACGCAATCGCATCGAATCAACCACCTTTTAGGTATGGATTGAGCAGATCGACCACTAATGTTTGCCTTCAGATCAATCGTTTTCCCACTTTGGGAGTCCGTTCCAAGACGACCGTGCAATAGAATCAACAGAAAATCCTCCTTCCCATCTTTGTTCATGACATTGGATGCACAATCCGTTGGATTGAATTCATGGTCATTGCCGCCGTCCTGCACCGAGGTGATGAGCCATGTTGTGGCCACTACCAAGGAATTTTGCATGTGGACGCTTTTTGACAGATGACAACCGGAACGCCATAGCATGTCCCCATCTCCCTGAGATGGAGCAAGACGTATATTTGCTTTGGCTGGTGGCTACGACGGCCCTGACACCAGCTTTTGGTCAGATCGTTGAACTTTCGAACCCACTCATTCCCATTTTTCGCCAAGCATAGACCTTTGCACAAGCCGCCCGGGGCAATTGCTCCCGAAGCAACCGATCGCCAAGATTGCAAGCCCAACACGGGCTGAGATCACTCAGCCGGCCGAGAACAAATAAGAATAAAAATTAGGATATAAAAAATACATAAGTTAAATGAATGAACGATATATTTATAATAGATTATAATTAACATGATGATAATGTATTTATTTTAGTTTGATATATTTAAATGTATTTGTTGTATAGATCGTTGTGGTAATTTGAGATTTGATTGGGGATTTCAATATATATAATTCATTTTTATTATATTGTTCGTTCTTTTAAATATTGATGTATTTTGTATTATATTACAATTTTGCGATATGTTTATACGACGAAATTATCGTATATATATGATCGATTTTTTGGAATATTTTTTTGAATATATAGGACAAATTCTAATGAATTTAGCATTTAGATGAATATTTTAAATATAATTAGGCCCTTTTGATTATTTTTAATCAATTTGTCATTTTAATAGTGATGATCATAGGTATTTAACCGATTTGATAATGATTTTAGATCAATTAGTATTTATGCTAAGAAGATTTTGATGCATTGCGAATGATATTTTGTCATTTCTATGTTTAATTCTACTAGAGATCGCAATGTCTTGATTATAGTGATGACATTGATTCTTCGCGATACAGATCTTATTATTGCTATTGTTCATTTAATATGAAAGAAAAGGATTTAAAATTTTCTGCATTTCCCGAATACCTTATGAAAATTGAATTCAAGAAAAATAGAGGAGAGGTCGATAAATCTTTGCACCAAATCCAGGGTGTTCGAAGAGTTGGAATATTGAACATTACAATTGAAAAAAAAATGGTAAATAAAGGAAAATGTATTCATTTAGACCCTCTAAAATAAGCAGATGGTGATCCGATAGAAGATATAAATATGTTCATTCAGATTAAAGAGATTAATTTTTCAAATTCATTTCATCTCCGATTTTGATCATCGAAAAGATTTGCAATATAATCAAACGATTCCACCAGTTGGATTCCATGCCTCCAGAAATTCGTTACTTTCCGGCCGTTTCAGAAGGATTTCATCCCGCCGAGACTAAACGAATCGCAAGAGATATACGAGTTTCTTCACAAGATCATAGGGAACGGCATCTTCCAAATTCATCATTGAGGATTTGGCCAAGCACCATGCAATGCAATCCTTTATCCCAGGCCATCTCGAGATAGATTCGTCATTGATGATATCTTTGCTCCATCTCAATTTTTTGAATAGAGGCAACCATTGCTATGTAAATGCCGCCTTCATGGCTAAAGTTTGCAATCTCTGATATTAACAATACAGAGCTCGACGTTATGCGGGTGTGGTTTTTACGTGCTTTTGTGGTGTTTTTCTTAGATTTTGTCATGTTTAGTCAGAGTTTCCATGGTTATAGTCTAGATATATTCTTGTGCTCCTGTTTCCTAAATAAAACCATTTTTTCTTGTTTAAAAAACCTCTGGATCCAATTCTACCCTTCCTTGCCCATAAGCACTCTCATTGTTTCAAAGGTAGCACTTTTTGGGCTTCTCCGTCCACATTCTTTATGAAATGGAGAGAAGATCATTGCTCCTGGAATTGGACAACCAATTTTATTTTTTTACTTTTTTTTTGGGCGCCCCCCCCCCATCATTGAGACCATACAGTATAGGTATCCACCCTCACCACGTAGAGCCTACAATATATACAAGTGCTTGCAGGAGCAGACAGTTGTGTCTTCAAACAGACGAGAGGAATATAAGAAGTTGTGGTGGAATTGCTACTCTTACACAGGTAGCTATAATGAAATCAATAATCTTGACTATCTCTAGCACCTGGGCCACTTCCAGCTCGTGGAATTGACAATGAGTCCTCAATCTCCAGCAAGTGGGGCCTGGGCCTGGGCTTCTCTAGGGGGGGGGGGGGCAAAAAAAAAATG